TCATAGGGTCAGCAAATCTGTGGAGGGCAGAAGAAATTGAACATAGTATCTATTCTTTTGTTCTTCTTAGTGCTCATCGGCTGTAAACTCCGGTGACAAGTTTTTGTTGTTCGCCGACTTCTGTTTTGCTGTCACATTCCAGAATTTGAGTATTGCATCCATTAAAAATCTGACTTGTATGCAAACCGTTCCTCGCCTCAATGGTAGTGGGTCTACCCCGTCTCCCCCTCCTCATTGGGCTCTAGAACCCATACGGAGAACGGAAGAATCTCAAAGCACTTCCAAGTGGAGAAACTGAAAGTAGATAGTCATCTTGATCATAAATAACAATGAAGACAGCACAATATCCAAGTGGAGAAACTGAAAGTAGATAGTCATCTTGATCATAAATAACAATGAAGACAGCACAATATCCAAGTGGAGAAACTGAAAGTAGATAGTCATCTTGATCATAAATAACAATGAAGACAGCACAATATCCAAGTGGAGAAACTGAAAGTAGATAGTCATCTTGATCATAAATAACAATGAAGACAGCACAATATCCAAGTGGAGAAACTGAAAGTAGATAGTCATCTTGATCATAAATAACAATGAAGACAGCACAATATCCAAGTGGAGAAACTGAAAGTAGATAGTCATCTTGATCATAAATAACAATGAAGACAGCACAATATCCAAGTGGAGAAACTGAAAGTAGATAGTCATCTTGATCATAAATAACAATGAAGACAGCACAATATCCAAGTGGAGAAACTGAAAGTAGATAGTCATCTTGATCATAAATAACAATGAAGACAGCACAATATCCAAGTGGAGAAACTGAAAGTAGATAGTCATCTTGATCATAAATAACAATGAAGACAGCACAATATCCAAGTGGAGAAACTGAAGTAGATAGTCATCTTGATCATAAATAACAATGAAGACAGCACAATATCCAAGTGGAGAAACTGAAAGTAGATAGTCATCTTGATCATAAATAACAATGAAGACAGCACAATATCCAAGTGGAGAAACTGAAAGTAGATAGTCATCTTGATCATAAATAACAATGAAGACAGCACAATATCCAAGTGGAGAAACTGAAAGTAGATAGTCATCTTGATCATAAATAACAATGAAGACAGCACAATATCCAAGTGGAGAAACTGAAAGTAGATAGTCATCTTGATCATAAATAACAATGAAGACAGCACAATATCCAAGTGGAGAAACTGAAAGTAGATAGTCATCTTGATCATAAATAACAATGAAGACAGCACAATATCCAAGTGGAGAAACTGAAAGTAGATAGTCATCTTGATCATAAATAACAATGAAGACAGCACAATATCCAAGTGGAGAAACTGAAAGTAGATAGTCATCTTGATCATAAATAACAATGAAGACAGCACAATATCCAATGAAGATTGGCTGCAATAATTCTCCAGCACCCCTGTGTGGGTTCCGGGGCCCTATTGTAGGGAAAAACAAGAATAGACCCATTGCCTCCCCAAAAGCATGTCGTAAGAGTCGACTAATTGGGGAGCTTCCGTTTGAAGTCGGATTGCATCTGCCGGAGAGGCAAGGGACCAACAGTCTGAATTCAAGAGAATGAGATATGTAAAACTGATGCACACGCAACACTCGGGTTCTGGAAGCAGGACTGCCGTTCAGTAGTGGACGAGCAACCAGAACTTTCCGCCAGAGTGTACAGCTGGTGAACGCGAAGAAGAAGAATTCTCCAGCACTGTCTCTGCCTCGTCTTGTAAACGTTTACAAACTGCTGTCTGTTCGTATCGAGGTGTTATTATCTTAAAGCTTGTGTCTGGCGCACACTGCTATACGGCAGCGAAACCTGGACTCCATTCACTACTCACAGGAAAGGTCTGAACGCCTTCCACATGCGCGGTATAAGACGCATTCTTGGTTTATCATGGCGAGGCTTAGTCCACAACGAATTTTTGCTGAACAGAGTAGAAATACTAACAATGTAATTTTCTACTGAGGCAAAGGCACATACGATGGTTGGGACATGTCTCCCGCATGGAGGACGGTCGCATTCCAAAAGGTTCTTCTTTATAGTGGATTGGAAACAGGGAAAAGATCAGCGTGAAGGCCAAGGCTACGATATAGTGGCACGTACTGAAAACTACCAACACTGACACGAATACTGGGAGTGGGGTAAGGGGGGGGGGGGGGCGATCAGCTGTAGAGCGATTCCTTTGGAGGCAGACAATGAAAGACGGACTGTCGGAGTGTGCTAGCGGACAAAGGCAGAAAGCGAAAGAGAGACGTCAGAGAGAAAAAAAGCAACCTCAGTAGAATACAGTATCAAGGTTTTAAAGTAAACTGCTGCAGACTTTCACATATGTCTTTAGTTACTGCAGACGCTGTACTGAAAACCAGCGACACAGTTCCATGCTCTTTATGAACTGAGAAAAGGGGGTGGGGCTGCGTGGTCTCGAGTGCTAGAGGTTACGGGTTCAATACCCGGTAAAGGCTGGGATTTTATTCACGTGGACTTGGACTTCTAGTAATTCCCCCTGGTCTCTGGGTAGTGAGATCGGACGCCCGTGTGCATTGTTGCGCAGGTAAAAAAAAAAATCCCTTGGCAGATGGAAATGGAAAAGAGTAGCCTAACGGCGCTGCCCAGGAAAAATTTGGAGTTAAAAATCTACCCAAAGTATTTCAGGATCCTCGCCGGTGCTACAGAGCCTGTGCACTGTGCTGAACTTCTAACTCAGACTTAGAAGAAGAAGGAAGCACTTATGGATTACTACCCGTGATCTGTTGTTCAAACCTCAAACCTATGAACTGAGGGTTGCCTACGAAATCGTCCTATTTGTATCGCTGACTATTTCTCGTTTGCCTTCAACTTTAAAGGAGATAATCATTCATATCAATGATTGTTGTCCACAGGATTAACACCTCCAGGATGAGAATTAAAGAGGAACAAATCACAGAAACCACGTCCAACAAAATAGGAACAAATCACAGAAACCACGTCCAACAAAACAGGAACAAATCACAGAAACCACGTCCAACAAAGCAGGAACAAATCACAGACACCACGTCCAACAAAACAGGAACAAATCACAGAAACCACGTCCAACAAAATAGGAATAAATCATAGAAACCACGTCCAACAAAACAGGAACAAATCACAGAAACCACGTCCAACAAAACAGAAACAAATCACAGAAACCACGTCCAACAAAACAGGAACAAATCACAGAAACCACGTCCAACAAAACAGGAACAAATCACAGAAACTGCGTCCAACAAAACAGGAACAAATCACAGAAACCATGTCCAACAAAACAGGAACAAATCACCCCGTCCAACAAAACAGGGAAACCACGTCCAACAAAATAGGAGATACCACGTCCCAACAAAAAAAAAACAGGAACAAATCACAGAAACCTTGTCCAATGGAGGAACAAATCACGCACGACAAACACATAACAACGTTATAAACCCTGGGATCATGAAGTAACATACAGTCCCGCTTGCCGATGGAAGGAGGCCCGCCGCCACGAAGAAAATATGGGAAAGAGGAGCGCTTGGCCAGGTCCTTGAGTGCTCCCACACAAACGAAATGGGTGGGGGGGGGGGGGGGGGGTTGCTGAGCTGAGCCTCTCCCCTCCCCTCAGTAATTGTATAAGGTTGCTAAAATGCCCTCTTTAACCATGCAAAGAAATTATCTTCTTTAAAATATTGTATCATATTACTTCAAATATATAGTTATATATTTATTTGCCATCTGTCTCATGATTATTATTATAAAGTTGCTGAATGGCAAATATTACAATAAAATACTTGAAATGATATGAAATGTATAAACAAACGCTTTTAGAGAAATTTTTTTTACATAGTTACAAGAGATGTCTTAGTATCGCTAACCCCCCCCCCCCCCCCCCCCCCCCCCACGGGCCGAAAAAAGACCTGAGACCTGAGCTCCCAGGTTTCGGCGCATAGGCCTATGGATGGGAGGATGTAACAACTTTACAGCCAGCGCGGTTTTTGTATGTGTTCTGTCTTTTAATGTATAATGTAATAATGTATTTCAAAATATATCCTATGTCACCTTCTTATTTCTTTAAATAACACATCGAGAACAAGTTTAGAAAAAAGGGAGGGTCTTTTAATTTATTTGTTTCGTGATTTCATATTCCTATTTTGAAATCAGAATATGAAAAGTGCGACTTTCAAGTTAACGGAAAGCTCTATGGAGAATACAGCGCCGCTTGTCTACGATATTGAAACAAGATAGATTGTTTATTACATCTAACCCTATACAGGTATGTTTTTTTTGTTTCATGCATGTCTTAACATTAATTATTCTTTATGAATTAATTGCATAGTCATAGATCTTTACTTATATAGTTTCTTTTGCATATGTATCATCACATCACTGAATCATCTCCCGCTTCACAGTTCTAGTTCTATCTAGTCTACTTCTCAACTTCAGCACAACTCAACTTTCCGACCGTGCGTAGACTCGTAGACTCGTAGACTAGTATAGTATACAGTTAACACAGTGCACCCAGCACCAGAGAGCCCTTTCACTGAATATTTGGAGGTAGAACACTGAACAGATATCTAAGGTTTTCATGTTGGTTAGGAAGCCATTCTTTCAGTCGCAGGGGTAGGATAGGCATACATTCAGGTAGCTAACTCTTTTTATTCTTGTCATTCATTTTCATTCTTTTGATTTTTATTGTTCATTGTGGTTGGAAAAATCACCCTTTCACTTATCACTTATCATTGCATGTTTGTTGATGACCTCACCAGAATACTTGCATGTATTTGCTGATTATCGTCGTATTTACAGTACAGTGTTTTAATTTTTGCAACATCAAACACACAAAAAGCATCCATACTTGAGTTTTTCCTGTCCTGAACTTGCTGTGCCAGGAACGCCAAGGAACAGAACAGCTTCAGCTTTCTTTAATTTGTGAAACTAAATATTATGCTTGTATTTCTCCTTAGGTTATAAGTCATTCTCAGCAGTCATGAGTATATTTGGAGGAACCTTTGGCCAGTCTTCATTGTTTGGATCACCAATGAATGCAGCCAACTCCAACCCAATGAAAGATTTTGAGGTATGTTTAATTCTTGCATTCTATTGGATTAAGAGTTTGGCATAAAATATTTGACAGATTATCATTATTCAATTAAAAAACAGTTATGGCGGGCTATAACAGTGTTTTCCCGTTGTACATTTGAACAGACAAGACACGAGCAACAGACTGTATGATTTATTGTCTTGCATATTTCACCCTATCTCTTCAAATACATACTGCAGAAACAATTGAGGATTATAATAAAGCACATAAAAGAATCCTAATATTTTACAACTGTTAATTTCAGGTGAGTTCTCCACCCGATGACAGTGTAAGCTGCCTCAAAGTTCAGCCCAGGACACTCCCGTCAACATTTCTTGTGGCTGGTAGCTGGGATAATAATGTGAGTATACTTGTGGCATAGATTTGGAACAGTTAATGAAGGATAGTTCTTTGTTTGTGTGCAGTTATATATGATCCATGTTATCTTCTTCTTTCTCTCCCCCCCCCCCCCCCCCCTCCTTTTTTCCTGCTCAGTGGGGCTAGAACACACACCTGGAAGAGAGATGGTACAGGCGCGCCCCTATCTGATATCCTCATAGAATCACATCACATATACAAGTCATCCTCTCTGTGGGGTGCAGTGATTAGATCTCTTGCTAAACAAAGTCTGTGGTACCTTTGCCTTCTTACTTCTTGTCCTTGTCCGTATTGAGATCCTAAAACAGGGAAATTCAAATGAGTTTACTTAGAGGTCACAGTGTTGAAAATTTAGATCGTCAGAGGCCTGAGTGCAGCATAGAATGGTCAGTACAATACAATTGGTAATAATCCATGAGACACTTGCTAGGCCTCTGCTGGCCGCCAGTTGAATATCCCTGTCCTAGCACATCCTCTGATGCAACAGCCATCTCAGGGTCTCCATGCTCACCACACCCAGCAGGAGTTGATTGGAACATTTTCTTTCTTGCGCGCCCCCCCCCCCCCCCCCCAGCATTTACTACCCATTTCCAATAGGTGGTTCATCGTCACTGACTCCTTTGTCTCAAAGTCTCTGGAATGCAGCGGATTCACTATGTCTGCCCTATCCATGCTTCTTCATCCACCAGCCACTGCAGACATTTGTCAGCTCTTTCATCTCCTTTCAGCCGTGTCTGGAGACTGGGTCAGGACCAGAGATGCCTGCTGTACATCTGAATGTTCCCTCACCTAGGGGTCAAACCCAGACAGCTGCATTAGCTAGCAAGTGTTCTATCTTGTGTTGCAAATACACTGCTTTCAATATGTTTTGGATCTTTAGAACAACACAAATAACTGGTGTGAAGATAAACATGGCACAGTAGGTGCATTGATCATTAATGGCCTAGTGTACAACATCTGGGTTCATCTGAATAATGATTCAACATTACGCTTTCCGGACCAGCCCATATCAGCTCAATCTTGCAGCTCAGCAGCCTGCAGAGTATCTTCGTACTGATGATAACCATTATCACTGGTTAATTACTTTTTTGCCTATTCCGCAAGTCTTGAGTGGCACCCTCAGATACTGCCCGCTGCATCTTTCTGTCAGTCATCTTTCATATGGACAAAGGACACGATTATAATTGTTTCAAAAAACACAATTTATTTGTCAAAAATCAGTTTCAGAAATGTGATTTAGTTTTGTAATGGTCATATGGTGGTGTGGGGGGGGGGGGGGGTGTCTTGGTGGCTAAATTGTTAACCCATTTGCTTTGAAGGTTGTGTTTCCAGACTGCATCGTATGGTTTACAAGTGCACTATTTTATGGAGATCTCTGAGGACTGCCCCTGGAGGTACAGAGTTCCTGCTTAGTGTAACACTCTAAGCAGGCGGCTCGTCATTGTGAGGATGGAGACCAAACCATGTGAAATAAAAACCCAGTGTAATAATACTAATCCTTTTGCTTTTTAATCTTAAACATTTATTGATTACAACAGTTCATCTTCTTCTTCAGCATTCTGAGCCCTTAAGGTTCATTGGTGCAGATATCACCCGCCTCCATTCATCTCTCTGGTTAGCCTTCTCTTTTCAGTTGGTGACACCAAGTGTTTGCAGGTCTATCTGAATGTTATCTCTCCATCTTCTTCTTGGTCTGCCTCATGGTCTACGACCATTCATCTTCCTTGTGTGATTACAACCGTTGAATAATTAAATTGCCTCTTTCTCTCCATATATGTTTCTGTATCCACCGCCACTGACTGTTTTTCATAGCTGTCATTAAATGTTTGTTAATAAACAATAATTGCTTGTCCAGGTGAGGTGCTGGGAGGTTCAGCAGAATGGGCAGACTATACCCAAGGCCCAGCAGACACATACAGGACCAGTTCTAGCCGTCGACTGGAGCGATGTATGTACATGTTGTCCCTCTTAGCTACCTCATGTGTTTAAGTTTCTTTTTTTTTTTTTTCAAATTTATTTTATAACAATCTTGAAGAAATTGATAGACATTAAATTTAATGAGTTCAGCGAAGGTGAAGAAATCTGACAAGTGTCTGTACAACCGCTGGTATCACCAGTTGTAAAACCCCCTCCAAAAGTGGGCATATGTTGGTTAGATCCTGAAGAGAGAAAGACAGAGAATAGCCAGTATATAAACTATCTTTATTAGATGTCTGTTTAACAGAAAACAACAGGACTACATAAGCAAAAATAGTAGGTTGTATAGAATGTCATGTGACACCTGTGTCTCGTGGCAGTTAAAGAGTTGAATTTGTAGTGTGAGTTGAGGGGTGAGGCTCAGAAGGCATACAGTTAGTTTAGCCTTCCTGAAATGGGGAGGGTGAGGCTCTGAGGGCATACAGTTAGTTTAGCCTTCCTGAAATGTGGGGATGGGGGTGAGGCTCAAGAGGTTTACACTTTGTTCAACTGGCCTAAAATTGGGTAGGGGGTGAATCAAGACGTGAAGAAAAGATGCTGCCGTCAATTAGGATACACACTGGGAAAACCTAAGAACAGTATCACTCTAGAATGTCTTTGTACTGGAACCCACAGAAGCATAGAAATAAATTCAGACCAAAAACACACAGAGAAGAGAGCTAGAGAGCCCAAAGGATGGGTAGACTTGACATATGTTGGTAGAGGTCCTATGCTCATCTGGTGGATAAACTGTACAGGAAGACAAATTAGGGGAGGGGTACTGAAGGGGCCTGAGCACCCAGGTTCCTATGGCTGTGTCTGACATTCCATCTTATCTCCTGTCAGGATGGGACCAAAGTGTTCACAGCCTCCTGTGATAAAACAGTCAAGATGTGGGACCTCAACAGTAACCAGGCCATGCAGATCGCACAGGTAACTCTCCATTTGTTTTTGATGTCATCTTCATATGCCAGGGAGTCTTCTCTGTCTGTCCTGAATGTCAGTATATGCCAGGAAACTCTTCATTTGTCTTCTTCTTTCACTTCCACCGGCTGTAAACTCCGGCCGAAAGTTCTTGTTGTTCATCCACCACCGTACCTTGAGCTCAATCCAGAACCTGACTGTTGGGTGCACATCCATTTTATAAATCTGGCCTATTTGTGTACAGATTGTTGGTTCCTTGCCTCTTAGGTAGATGCACTCCGACTTCGAAGGATGCTTCCACTTAGTTTAGTCGACTCCTTTGTCATGCACTTGTTCCCCCCCCCCCCCCCAGAACCCACACTGAGAGAATGTCATTTAAAAAAACATTTAAATATCTCTGGAACTACTCTTCTTTGTGTTGGATATCATCATCTTTTCAGTATGCCTGTGACATTACCCACCCACACTGGACTACAGCTTACTCAACTCTTTTGTGGTGCCCCATTATAACTCAGCTATATGGTTGAACAGGGTTTCCAGGATTTGTACCGGTTTGATTCTCATTCTTGTGATGTTAAGACATATTACAGACTGCAATCCTTGAGGGGACAAACTTTAACAGATTTAAAAAAACAAAAATCCTTGTGCCCTTTCAAGCGAAGTGATACTTTACTTAATACTCTTGTCTCTTTTAAACTGCCTTACTGCAGCCTCACATAAAATGTGTGTTCCTATTTAGTAGGCATCTGTGATTGACAAATCTGTGATTGACAAACACATGTGTTAATTTAACTTGGGCAGTGAGGCACCTGTAGTTTTTTTTTCATGGTTACTGGTGAGAAAGAAGCCACAAGGCACAGTGCTAACATGTTCACTTACTGACCCACTGATCATGTGTTTAAATCCATGCTGAGGTGGGGGCTGTTTTGACGCAGTCAAAAAAAAATAAGTGACTGGAAATGTTACAGTATTGTCGTCAAGTGCCTTCCCAGCTGGCATGGGCGATAATGCCCCTCCACAACCTGTGATCTTTAACAGCTTGTATCATTTCATGTGCTGACACTCTTTCAAGTAATGACAAATGGCTGTTAAGAATCTTCTTGCATTGTCTTCGTCAGCCTTTTTTCCATATTTCTTTCCATTGGTCACAGTTGTTCCTTCTTCTCAAAATCATCAACATGTAACAGGTCCTTTGCAGAACATCGCTCTTGTCGCGGGCTGTTTGGAAAAAAACTCGGTCTCTTGTCAGATTTCTTGCCTCATGTACTTTCATATCCAAGAAGTCACTTATATCCTGTGCCCATCGTTGGTTGGCCTCTGCCTCTACCTCCTGGTACCATGCCTTATGCTATCTTTCCATGATAGGTTTCTTGCTATATTAATGTGGTAGTTTTCTCTTGATTTCCACTTGCACGTGGCTTTAGACTATGTCCTCTGCCTTTAGCAACCTTTGCGAGGGCAAGTGAGTGCCCTGCTCTGTGCTACTCCTGCTAACAGTAGAGGGCACCCCAGAGGTGTTCACTTACTCGGGTGGATACTCAGTCCCCATAGCTGCACTGGCCATACTGCAGTGTGTTTACCATCCTCTATCATGTGGAGATGCAGTTAGGGTTTTTCCCTTTGCTGAGACTTGAGACCAGAATGGTATTTCCCACAACTTCTCATAATAACACCAAATAATAATGACTGTCTCTTTCTGATGTTTGTGATAAGTGCTCTTCAACAACCTGTAATGTTACAGTGTACCTATTGGATACTCACCACATCACCCTTTGATGATTGGTCTATAAAAATCTGGACAAGGGTTATGTACCTAAATCAGCCTGACCCACATAGTATTGCAGGTTGCACTTGTCTGGTGTAGCTGTTATCTGTGCCCGGTTATAATTTCTTTTGAGCTCAAAGGGGGATCTCTATGGCAAAGTTATCAAGTCATTTGTCTCCTGCTCTAAAGATCAGGGATTTGTCTCATGAACTGCATTATCCGGTTAACGAATGTAATTTTTACATGGATCCTTAAGTATCCTTGCCCGAGCTATGGAGTTTGTGCTTTATGTGACACTGTCAGCAGGCAGCAAGCCACTCTGCAGAGAGAGAGACTAGGCCAAATGGGGTAAAGCCCAGGGCAGTTATCCTGCCCCACTTTAAGTTTATGTTGTGTGATATTTAACTTGACTAGTTCTTGCTAGTTCTCATGTCATGATCATCTATTCCAGCACGATGCTCCAGTGAAGACGGTTCACTATATTAAAGCTCCCACCTACAGTTGTGTCATGACCGGAAGCTGGGACAAACTCTTGAAGGTTGTATCTGTGAACCTGTTGTGTATCGTATTTTCACACAAACTCTTGAAGGTTGTATCTGTGAACTTGTCGTGTATCATATTTCCACAGAAACTCTTGCAAGTTGTATCTGTGAACTTGTCATTTTTCCGCATAAGTTCCTGACAGTTGTGTCTGAACCTTCGTGTTTCACCTGGCATATTTCCACACAAACTCTTGAAATGTGTAACTGTGAACTTGTCTGTTTCATGTGCTATGATATTGATTCTTAATTCAACATTCAACGTGTGTCACAAAAACGCTTGCTGTTTTCTGTATCCTTTATCTTCTCCAAAAGTTCTGGTTGTTCATCCATGTCTGGGTGTTGGTTTTGTTCCAGGACTTGAGTTTTGTGTGCAAATCCATTTTACAGATCTGGTTTATTTTAATGTAGACTGTTATGCACTACGACCTCAAATGTTACACTCCCAAATAGTTGTACTTTTATGACATGCTTGTTGAAAGAGGATTGGGGAGAGGAAGGGGGGTGAGTAGTGGGTCTATTCTGTGTCCCCAAAATGGGACATAAAAACTCTCATAAAAAGTCGTGTGATTCAAAGTAGTTTTTTTTTTTTTTATGATTTTTTTTTTTTCAGTGATATCACATGCCCCTTAAATTTCTTGTGCAGACTACCAAATTGGAAACACTGACCTAGATGTAAAAAAAAAAATCTGTCATCAAATTCATGAATTTTAAATACTGATTGTTGGTTTTTCTCTTTCAGTTCTGGGACACAAGGTCCTCAACTCCAATTCTAAGTATACAGTTGCCAGAACGGGTTTATTGTGCAGATGTGGTGAGTTACTGCCCCTGGCACTTTTTGAATATCTTTACTGATTTTGTCTTTTTATTCAAACAGTGTATTTACTTGTTTACAAATGTTTTGTTTTTAAATTACCATATTTTTCCATTTTTTAAGACAGTATGTTTTCCCAAATTTTGTAAGTTTAAAGTTGTGGGATTTGTCTTATACAACGAAAATGTTTAAAATATTTATTTCTTAATTTTTAGATTTAAAAAATAGCGGGTGTTTTATACACAGAAAATTACGGTAAATATCCTCTCTGTCACATGTTGTTCTCAGAATTTGATTTATCTCAGTGAGGCTTAAATGGTGTCTACGGAATCTTCACAGTTGAGAGGATGGAGGGGGGGGGGGGTGAATGCCTTTGAGAAGGAAAAGGTATTAGAAACATGGCTATGGAATGTTGGTTACTGTTGGCCTGCTTTGGTTACTGTTGGCCTACTTTGGTTACTGTTGGCCTACTTTGGTTACTGTTGGCCCTTTTTGGTTACTGTTGGCCTGCTCTTATTTGCTGCTTTCTATTAGGGGTGGAGACTTACTGTTGCTGATGAATCCCCTGGATATCTGTCAGTGTTAACTTTTAACCTCAGAAACCCTTGGAGGGGAAAAACACATAAACCCTAAAAAAAAATTAAATGTATTTATATACATTTGAGAAAAAAAAATTGGGAGCATAAAGACTAATGAACATGAATAGAGCAGAAAATAAAATGGATTGTGTTTCCTTAGTAAATGCTATTTATAGCTAATATAATCATAGACGGTCGGACTAAACACTGCAGATGCAAACAGGACCAGTGCCGTTAATTAATTAGGCTTGTAGGGCACATGTCAGTGCGGCAATGCCGGCTTTCCCATGGATTTGTAATAGACTCCGATGTGAGTTCTCAGCTTCTTGGGTCAAAAGGGTAATCTCATTACACTAACATTCAGGTAATCTAAGCATTGAAAAAGCACTTGCGGGTATTGAAGTTAGTTAGTTTTTTTTTCTTTCAGTCATTGTGACGTTGCGTGCCACTTCCCTTGAGATTACAACACTTTTAGTGTGTCGTCCCGGGTCGTGGGTTCTCTGGATTTGGGTTTAAATGATTTATATGTTGAGTATGAATTTTCCTCTCAACACATCCCCTCCACCAGATTAACTGAACTAATATCCGGGCTATGTTGCTCTCAGACAAAGTCCTGGATATCCAAGAAAACAGCCATATTGGCTCGTTATTTATATTTAACTTTAGCTGAACTTGGTACCCACAAGAGAAGGAAAGGAATTTTAGATGTCTATATCATTATGCTGAATGAATTATTAGACAGGGCAAATGATTCCTCCGTCATACCTTCTCCCGGTATTATTATTAATAATTAAAGAATTATTGTCATATTATTTGAGCTCCCACCAAATGTAATTCTATCTATCAGTTTAGTTAAACAGGTAAGACTGAATACACTTGGAATTTAACAAACGATGTAGCATAAAACTTGACATACAGCTTTATTTACTAACAATCATTATTTCCCAGTTTGTTGTGTTTACACAAACAGTGACTGGTTAATGGTATGATAATGATGAGATGCTTCAGCGAGAAAACAGCACCTGGGATTAGAAGGGTGTGATGAAGGTGATAACGTATGAACAATTTTTGACATAACTTAGTTATCATAGAACCTCTGACAGCCGTGAGCACTGTCAAGCTCTTCCTCCTCTTCTAGCTTCTTCCCTGCTTGTTTTCTGCCTGTTTCAGCTTAGTTTCCACTTCATCCCCACCTCGTTCCCAGCTGGCCGAGTCTAACACAATGTAGTCTCCTTCATGGACTGATCGTCACATGGGCGCTGTAATCATGGAAACAAACACATACGTATAGTATCTTGACTTACACTAAGAATACATGTATCAATTAATATAACATATAATAATCAAATATATCTCATCACTCCTCCTCATATTCCACATTCTCTCCAGTCTGTTCTGGAGGTCTTTGTGTCTCACACCGACGTCTCACATATCCTGCCTTCCCTCTAAGGTTCGGTCATGATAGTTGACTTTCTGTTGTCCGTCATCACTCAGACTTCCAACTTGCTGACATTGATTTGACATAAACATGTGGCGCAGGTTGTGCGCTAAACACGCCAAACATTTTATACGAGCATGCTGTCCTGAATATTATCTTTCAGTGACAGTGAATAATATACACTCATGATTCTTCCCCTGGGGTTATAAATCCCCTGTTTAGGTGAACACATTAGGTGAGCACATGGTGGGCACACAAAAAGTAACAGCATGGCTGCATATGTGGGCATCATTTCCCACAGGCCAAACTCATGTTTTGGTTGATGGTTGAAACATTATAATTTCATTACATTTCATTATACAAGTCTTATTTTATAAACATGAAAACATACACTGAAAAACATGTGCCACAAACATACAAGAAATAGAAATAGTTTGGCAGTTCCCTAACTGAGATACTGAATACTCACAAAGAACTATTTCAAGCAGAATGTGTAGACAAATTAGGGAAAGATAGAATAGATTTTAGCTAACTCCCTAACCTATGTATACAAGATTAAAATTAATATTTTCTGATACCTGGGAACTTTCCAGCAAATGCCAAACACGACTCAACCCGTGAGAAAATACTTTTCTACGGTAGGTCTGAGTCTGTGGCCTGCTGGCGGCACTATGAGGTAAATCTACAATGCTCGCAGTATAAGTATCAATCTATTGTCCAAATTAAACTCCTCCCTTTACTAGGTTCTACCCAACCCTCAAGACGATGACTTGAGCCACGCCTCTGAAGTACCTATCAGATCAAATTAGCTAACAAGTGACCTGTCAGTCAATTCTGGACTGACATCCCTAGAGCGAACATTCTTAAGTGACCCAATCTAGTTTACAACGATTCTACCTGGCAGGTGTTAAAAGACAGTCAGTGAAGCCATTGTGTTTCCTACTTGACCAAGATCAAACATTCCTAATTGCCAAACATCTGTTCTCTTGAGAATTTCACTATCATGTGTGAAACTTCAGACGCTGGACGCTGGCCCCACTCAGTGTGTGTTAGGTACCTTTTATGACACTACGGTCGGGTTCAGGGGAGCTAATCTCAGGTGTGATACTACGTTATCTCCCCCTTTACTTGCCTCTACAGACTGGGCAGGAGATAATTATCTGACACAGGCAGGTGAAACTCTAGCTACAGTAGTATTAGGTAATATCACATAAAGCAAGGTTGCTTTGTCTGGCGAGAGACTGGAAACACATTTTACACAATTCTCAAATCCCTTATAGTGGTTTTAGAACTATTTTAGGCTCAGTGTCTATTGCTTTTAATTCTTTGTCCTTCTCTGAACATAAGAAATTATTAAACACAATATAACTTCTGAGACCACTGAGGTCATTTCATCACAGTCACCCTTAAAAGGACTGTTGGTACACTTTATGGTTTATAGTTTTGCGTGCACATTTATCTTACTGATCTGGCTAACTTGTTTGCAGACTGTTGGTCTACTGTTACATCATGCTAGTTGCAAAGCTTTAGGTCTGTTTTGTTTTCTCCCAAAATGGAGCCTCGGAACCCATGCAGGGGTTCTCATTAAAAAATTAATTTCTTATAAAAGCCATTCATAGCTGCAAGTAGGCTCAGCACTGACGAGGTCTAGGGCCTGTCTCTCTGCTCATGTTTTAGAAATATCCTTTACCTGTCCAGTCTATGTTAGTGACCATATGTTTCAGAAATACCCAATGGCAGTCGTTGGGACTGCAGGACGGCAGATCATCGTCTACCAGTTGGACGTCCAGCCGCAGGAGTTCAAGAGAATGGAATCTCCACTGAAATACCAGGTAAGCCAAACTGTTAGCGCCATCTACCCATGATCTGAATGTTTCTTACAGGTCGTCATTCTCTGCCGCAGGTCAGGGCATAATAAGCTTAACCAGTGTAGGCTTGTGCTTCATCTGAGAAGTTCACTGTTATGGGCTGTGTGTGCAGACTGAATGTTTTCTTACAGGTCGTCATTCTCTGCCGCAGGTCAGAGCATAACAAGCTTAATCAGCATAGGCTTGTGCTTTAACTGAGAGGATCACCATGTGCGCATGTGATCTTGTGTGTGCAGACTGTAGAACATGTTCTTCAAGTCTGTACCTTGTACATCCCATTAAGAAGGGAATACTGGCTCAATGACTCAACAGTCTTAACAGGACAGCTGGCACAGTGTGTTATGGTTTACAGCTAGGCTGTGATATCTCCGCCTTTCGCCTAACACATCCGATTTCAGCAAACTTATAATTAGTCGCCTTTTACAACATGAACTAATTAAACAGTTTATTTATTAGTGAAATTATGTAATATAAAATATGCATATCTTTACCATTTTTCGTGTAATGTGACATGTGCAAATTTTTACCTGTTCATGTAATATGAACATATGCATATCTTGACCATTGTTCATGTAATATATAATATGCATATCTTGACAAATGTTTGTGTCTGTAATTATTTGTTGTCATTTACTTACAGCACCGGTGTGTCAGCATTTTTACCGACAAGAAAACAAATGCGCCAACTGGCTTTGCCCTGGGCAGTATAGAAGGGAGGGTAGCCATACAGTACGTGAACCCTGCCAACCCGAAGGATAACTTTACATTCAAGTGTCATCGGTCCAATGTGGCCCCTAGTGGTGGTGTCCAGGATATTTATGCAGTGAGTTTTCAGTGGCAGTTTGTATTGATGATTCTCATCTTAGTTTTCTGATTGTG